AGCTTGGTCGGGGATCTTGTTGATAACTCGGGCGGGATCATATTGATACGTACTCGGGCCGCCATCGTGGTACACCTTTAAAGGAGGAGGCACTTGCGCCTCAATCGACCTTACATCAGGCGCGTTCGGTCTTTCCTGACTGCTATTGTTTTGCTATCTTTGGTACAATGGTGACAGATTTGAGACATCAATAGATACTCGTGGTGTCTCTGGTGCGGACATAGACAGGTATATATGATAATCCCGACCCCGCTCTCTTACACAGCCAAGAAGGTTGTTTGTTATCCTCCTAAGGAGGCCCACTTCTCTACTACCGAAATTATCCCTACCACGGGCCATATCACTAATACGCTCGAGCCCATCGACCTAAACCATATCAATTAACAAAGTTAACCAACTAACAGTAATGATATGCATAACTAATAATATGTCGATAAAAGTGCAAAAATTTGAATTTATTATACGGAAGCACTTACCAATAATGCACCATATGCCGTACCCTCCGGAGTCATGTACCGAATCGATTTTTTTCGGTACTTTTAATTGTATGGGTCATGATACCCCATTCGCCCCACAGCTGTTGGAGTGACAATTTCTTCATCTTGTATGTTGGCCCACAGACGAATGAAGTCCTTCAACTTATGAGGCCAATCAATGGGACCTTAGTGGCCATCTAGTCTGTGGAATCCCTTTTGACTTGTGGGGACGGGCAGAGGTAAGCATTGTTCCCGACTAAATTGACGTAAGCATCGAACCGGCAGGTGCCACTCCATAATATTGTGACAAATGAGAGGGACTCTCGTGCACCATTGACCATAATGCTACGGGAATTTGAGTTAAACTAAGTTCTACAAAAGAAATGACCAATTTTAGTTAAAATAAGTTCTATAACAGATGTCGAAAATAACAAATGAAGAAGTTCACATTATTGTAGTTACCTCTCCTTCCCAAAGTCTCTCTAGCCTCCTCCGATACTCTGCCAACTTGTGATCAGAAAGGTTGTCGCATGTTGTGGCTCCAACCCACCTTATTGATAAGGACAATAATAAAATGTTATAAATAAATAACTATCTATTGTGTTATGGAAATCATGAGTGGGTATGAGAAGTTTACTAAAACCATAAGCTTCGAGTCTTAGGGGATGATCGAGTCCCCATGCATGGTCGGGGCGTTTGAACGGCGAATCCATGGCAGAGGCTCCCATGCCCAAAATTGGACGATGAACATCGCCCCCAACCTCCTTCACAGCTTTCGTAGTTGCATTACATAATGAGTGGTAGATGTGAGCTAGGCAAGCGGATGCCCAGCTCCTCCCAAGAACCAATGAGGATCTTCAGCCACACATTGCTAATTAAATTGTTGGATTTCTTGGGGAAGAACACTCCTCCGATCATGCCTATGAGATAGACACGAGAATAATTTTCCTTTTCCGCCTCAGAACTTTCCTTGGTGAGGGGGAGGCCATTTTCTTTAGGGTCATGCTTCCTCCTGATCGTCGCTATTAACCAAGTGATTGATACTTGGTTCTTCCTCAATGGTGGGTTGCGATCTTGCGCATCAACGCATCCCTTGTCTAGCCCCAAGACGTTGTAGAGCAAATGCTACCAACCGATCAGGTTGCCAACATCCGGTGGTGGAAGGTTGTTCACACACACCACATCATCATCGATGATCAGATGGGTTAGGATGGCGATTTCCTTTAGTGTTATGGTGCACTCTCTTCGCGAAAGTTGAAGTTATGTGTCTTCTTTCGCCATCTCTTCACCAATGCTTTGATGAGTTGACGGTCGATCTTTATCCCTACAAAGTGCCTGATCGACTCCAACCTTACTATTTTGAGAAAGGTCAAGATGGCGTCGTTCCATGAGAGCACATTTCTTGTACCCCTATAGCGGATTATATGGTGTGCATCCTAGCGAAAAATTTAACTTTCACCATAAATTTATGATATACTAATTTATAAATCTATTATAACAAATAATTTAAATAAACAAATATTTTCACCATCGTATTGGTTGATTTTAATAATTTATTCAAATACAAGTACACTCGCTAGACTCTTAGAATAGGTATACATAGAGGGACGGAGCTAGCTTACACGAAGGAGGTGCAATTTTGGATAAATAATAATTTTTCCCAGTGGCTTAGTTGTTAGAATAGTAGTTTGTTTAAGATTTTGCACATTGAAGGGTCTGGGTTCGATTCCCACATTGGTTTGTTTTTTACAGTTTGTTTTTCTATGTAACTTCAACCTTTGATATGTCAAGTTGTCAACCTCCTACATTTGGTTTATGTCCATTTTTCAGTTTATTTCACATTTTAGAGGTGAATTCACTTTTTCTATGCAATTTGAAGTTTTGGTATGTTCATTTTTTAGTTTATTTCACATTTTTATAATTGAATTTCACTCTCTTTCCTGAAATTTCAACCTTTGCTATACCCTTTTTTAATTTATTACATGTCTATATTAAGTTTCTTTGCAAAATTCAAGGCGAATTTCACTCTATTCAACATTTAAAGGTGAATATATGTAATTTCTAAGTGATATTTTATCATGTTCTTGTTTTGCTCTAACGGTTATGATATGTATGAAGTTTCAATTACATACCGTAAAAATAGTATGTTGCATGATAAAATACTTCGCATGAGATATATCATGATATTTAGGTTGCACATAATTTTATTCATTTTTATATAAAAAATCTTGTGTATAATTCGAAAGCAATATTTTTCTATTAGTTTGTCGCAAAAAAAAAAATTTTGTTGGCCCCTCCTACTGAAAAAAAAAAATCCTGGCACAACCTAACGCAACACTTGTGACTGGGTTGCTTACAGTGGGGGTTGCAAAAGGAATAGACAAATATTTTTTCATTTTTCACAAATAAAATATAAAGGGTTGCATATCATTACATCTTATGCAACAACACTTTACGCAATACATTTTTTGCGACACATTTTAAGATTATAGGCAACGGTTTTTTCAAGTTTTTCAAACATTTGAATTTTATCAACGATGAGTCCATATCATCATAAATGACTACTTCAATTGTGATAATTTTGTTAGTAACAGATACTAATATTTACGTGAAAATGCTGTCGTCATTAGTGATTAATTTTGTGACGAGTTAGCTACAACATAAAAACAACAAAGGTAGCATATTTAATTGTCACACATAATTGTCATGGCTGGCCATAAAAGTGTCACTAGTTTTTTTGAAATTCAATGGATGATTTATGACTGGGTTTGCTTGTCACCAAAGTTACCATTTATGATGATTTATAATGTCATGTATGCAACCGTATGATAACGAATCAATTTCATAGGACGGTACAAATGAAAATCCTTCTCGCATATTCTCTAAATCCATGTAGGCATCATTCCTATTCATATTCATTCTAAGGAGACTCTGAGGGTGTCTCTTATGTATCAAGTCCTAGTCTAGTTGTCTCTTCCTTATGCTTGTATAAGTGACGCAAGAGGTGAGGCGCAAGTCGTCTTTTATTGTATTGATGTAAAAAAATAGAACCTGTTGACGAGGTGCTCTTGGTGAAGTCTGGTGAGCGGTTGGAAAAGAGAAGAGTGTGGATCCTTTGGACAGTTGTGAAGGGTTCATTTCTAATTTCGCTTGGGAAACCTAGTAGTGATGAAAAGAATTAATAGAAAGAAAGAATACTGACCTTTCCTTTCTATACGATAGATATGATATTTCAAGGGGGAAAATTAATGCTTAATTATATAATTAAGGTATGGAGGGAAAGTAGATGAGAGAATATTTTTTCAGTTACCATAATTACCTTTGGTTTTAGTGTAAATCACGATAGTTCCTTTTTTTTAGGGGTAACCTGTTAATGAATTAGAAGAGACTAGTCAGCAGGTACAACATCTAGCCGAAGCTGGTCAAGTAGAAACATCGAAGGCCTATCAATCCAAACTTCACTATTATCCCAATGAGTTTCACTATGCGCCATGATGTGAGCCGCATTATTCGCTTCCCTGAGCGTATCACAGATCATGTTGCTATGAGAACTTGTCTGTATCATGTAGCTCTTCACACTGCGACCCGCAATCTCTGCTCGGATCATGCAAGGTATTAAGTATTAACAGTAATGATGCTATCAGACTCAAGAATTAATGGAGCGATCCCCAATTGTTAAGCGAGCTGGCCCCAAATCCAGCAACTAGCATTTCTGTCATTTCCACAATGAAAGTACCACGAATCTTCTTTGCTGACGCTGCGAGAAAGACACCACGATGGTCACGAGCCACCATTCCCAGACCCGCACCACCTTCAGCCAATATACCTGCATCGGTAGTAACTTTAATCCAACCTTCAGGGGGCCGAAGCCACTGCCGCGAGCTCTTATAAATCACCGCACCATCCAGAAGAGATTGGGGCGTTTGATACTCCTCCAATAGCGCTTGCGCCCTATCAACAACTTCATTCTCCGGCCATTTACTCTTATTAAAGAGTTGTTCATTTCTCTTGTTCCAAAGTGCCCATAGCAGCATCACCCAACTTTCAACTTCTTCCTTCAATCTTACAGCTAGTACTTTAGCGACTCCCTGTGTATCAAACGCACCCATCAGGCGAGGCTCCCTAGATACGGCATCTCCAACTTCACTCTCTAAAGAAGTGATTGCTGACTCTCCAATGATAGATCCCTTTTTAATTTGAAGTATATGTTCCATTTTACCAGATTATTTACTTGCATATATAATTGGGGAGGGGATAGGAGGCGGCCAGCTCGAACTAATTTAGACTGCATATACTACCTAATACGCAACTCCAAAAGAAAGAGTTGTCAGAAAATATTTAACGTCACACTTTTGAACAATGTTGCAATTCTAAGTGTTGCAAGAGTTCTACTTTCCCATAATGATAATCCAACGGAATCAACAACGACGACAATAATATAAAGTACATACTTATTATTATTATTATTATTATTAGTTTATTATTATTTTTAGTTATTATTATTAGTAGTAGTAGGAGTCTACTATTTAACATTCTGATTCATTTGATCTCATCCTCCTGATCGTAGATACTTCATACTTGTGTTTAAGTTTGATTGACTATAAGTGAACAGCCCCATCCTCTCCTTTAAGTTTATTCCGTCTTCAGCTGCAGTTATAAAAGCTATACTCCAGCACAAGGTGGCGATCATCATCACTCTCGACATATGCAAGACTCTTGCCACGAAGCTTGTCGAAAGTTTGACGGTCTAACTCGAGACCCTCGGTGCTACGTTCGTCAACAATTCGCACCATCACTTCAACACCACTTCCGCAATTTCTCAACTACCAATACCATATACACCAAAGCATGAAAAAATATTATCTTAAGAGTAAATTATTGATCGTAAGATGGAGACAAATATACGGTACGCATAAATTACGTACCTTCATGCACTTGCCGCAATAACTATCGACATTGCTAGTCCGCTGTGGCCGCGAATTCTTTGCGCCGAAAGCAGCCAAAGCATACTTGTTAGGCATAGCCAGCGGCACGTTGGCGAGAGAAGTCGCGCCGCATGGCGACGATGAGTTAATACTATTGATCAGATCATCACCATTCTTATGGGTTGCATTAATCAGAAGATGATCCGGCCGCCGCCATACGACGGCGGCTGTGCTTCCTTGTGGCGGCGGTGGTGCATAACGGCACTGGGACGAACAATAAGTGACACAATGGTCATCGTCGCTACCACAGTAGAAGAAACGGCTACAGCACCGCCCCTGGTCGCACGGATGATTGGTGTCACAATTGCTGCCGGCAGCCTCTTCAGCATCCGATGATGCAACTAAGAAACACAGAAATATTGATGTTACAGTACATATTGAAGCCAAGATCGCCACCATTGTTTTTTATTTTATTTTTTTCTGTATATTAATCTTGCATGTGTTGGGTTTATAGACGCCTTGATCATGGTCCATTATTTATAGAGCCTCATGAAATGAAATATCGGCATTACCTATAGAATCGGTGCTTCCTTCCCTAGTAAAGGGGAAGGCTGGCGGAGGTCTCTTTATTTTAATTATATATATGAATCGGTGCTTCCTTCCCTACACGTAAAACCCATTTTCTTTCAGAAACGTGGTAACTTAATTATATTTATACATATATGTTACTCTCGCATTCAATCGGGACAAGATAAAATAAATATTCTAGTTTTTCTTCCACTTGTTTTTATTATACGTCATTGCTTTCGTAACAGAGTTATGAGTTCCTCTCCTCTCCATCTAGTGGCCTTGGAACTTTGTCGTACGTGAATTCGAGGATAAATTTCTCCAAGATGTTACTACTTGGTGAGGTATGTATCCAGGCTTGCAAATTTCTCCAGCATCATTCTCAAAGTTAGTCTTGTAAATCATTTACATAGCCGATTCTTTTTGCAGCTCTAGCTACCAAGTGGAGCTTTTGAACACATTAAGAATGCTCTCAAAAGGGAAGATATCTCATGGATATTTTCCTTTGGCTTTCAAGGTTAGATCATTAGCCATGTAAACAGTATTACATTGAATCATAAATCATGGTACGAATGATGGAATATATATGCAAAAATTAGGCAGCAACAAGTTTGGTTATGGGTTTCCTAATAGTAACTAGAGTATTTGTAACCAACTTATAGAAACAGGGAGGGTCCCCATTAGCGACAGTTTTGAATTCTAACAGATTTCTCTTTAGCGACCATACTGAATTGGTTTCAAAATTAATTAGTCAAAGTCCTTGCTGGTTTTAGCAACAATTTTGAATTCTTACGGGTCTCTCTTTAGTGACCATAATACGTTGGTTGAAATTAATTAGTCACGAATTAAGCAAGGGTTTTAACTTTTGCTAGTTTTAGCAACAAATTTTCCAAGGGTTCAAACCATACATACATATTTCTATTTGATTTTACATTTATGTGCAACAGGGGTTGTAACCCTTGGTATATGTAGCAGGAGTTAAAACCCCTACTACAACCGTCGGAGCCTCGGAGGAGACTTCCATCGTGGATTGCTAAAAATCCTTGTTACGTGTAGTAGGGACAGTATTGGCGAAGATTCGTCCAGGGGTTGGGAAAAACCTTGCTACAACTTGGCAGTGTGTTATTAACGAGGTGCTCTCGATGAAGTCTGGTGAGCGGCTGGAAATAGAAGAGTATGGAACCCTCCGTACAGTGCTGAAGGGGTAAGATCAGGTGACTAGGGGATCTCTTAGTCACATGACTAAGTGAATCCCAACCCTTCAAGCTCATTTAAATCTAATTGTTGCAATTGATCTCATTTAATGAAGGATAATGTAGTAATTGCATATTTATTTAGTTATTAATTATTTAATAATTTAAATAAACTTCCATACTCTCACGTTTTTCTCTTCCTGAATTTTCGGTGTCCCGTCACCTCCGACGACTGCTGAGTTTCTGGCGTCCCATTACCACCGGCGGTCAAGGCTGGGATTTTCCTACTATAACCCGGTATGGTTACTTGATTTTGTCGGTACGATTTTTTTATTGAAAAAATATTTTATTATTAAAAAAACGGTATTTACCTGTATGAAATGGTTGAACCACGGTCCTACTATAAAATACCCTACCAAAATGTAATCCGGTACGATTTTATGGTTCATTTCTAATTATGAGGTAGATATCATATTTCAAGGGTAAAAATTTAATGCTCAATTAGATATATAATTAAGGTACTGAGGGAAAGTAGATGAGAGAATTTTTTTTTACCACAATTATCTTTAGTCTTAGACTCAGTGTAAATCACGATAGCTCTAATGTTCCGTTTTATCAGATTATTTACTTGCATAGATCAATGAGAAAAAATTAAGTGCTCTATTTTCCCATAATGATGATTCAATGGGAAAATAAAACGTTATTTTTCCAGCATCAACAACGACGAAAATAATACAAAGTACATACTTCTTAAATCTTCTTTCTTATTATTATTATTATTATTATTATTGTTATTATTAGTAATAGTAGTAACTACTTTAACATTCTGATTCATTAGCTTTCATCATGATCGTAGATACTTCATACTTGTGTATCAGTTGGATTAATTATAAGTGAAAAAGCCCCATCCTATCCTTGACTTTCTTCCGTCTTCAACTGCAGTTATAAAAGCGATACTCCAGCACAAGGTGGCGATCATCATCACTCTCGGCATTTGCAATCTTCTTGCCACGAAGCTTGTCGAAAGTTTCACGGTCCAATTCCAGACCCTCACTGCTACGTTCGTCAACAATTCGCACCATCGCTTCACTTCCACTTACTCGATTTGTCAACTGACATATACATCAAAGCAATCAAAATAATGAGCGATATGTCATTTTCTAATTAATAAGATCTTGAGTAAATTATCGATCGTAAGATCGAGAGAAAAAAATACGGTACGTATAAATTACGTACCTTCATGCACTTGCCGCAATAACTAGTAGCATTTCTAGTCGGCTGTGGCAGCGAATTCTTTGCGCCGAAAGCAGCCGAAGCGTACTCGTTACGCACAGCCAGCGGCACGTTGGAGAGAGAAGTTGCGCATGGCGACGATGAGTTAATATTCTTATATGTGGCATTAATATTCAGTAGATGATCGGTGGCGCCCTCCGGCCGCCGCGATGCGACGGCCGCAGTTCTATGCGGTGGCGGTGTCGGTGGTGGTACATAATGGCACTGCCAGGAACAAAAACGGACACAATGGTCATAGTCGGTACCACAGTAGAAGAAACGGCTACAGCACCGTCCCTGGTTGCACCGATGACTGGCGTCACAACTGCTGCCAGGAGCCTCTTCAGCACCCGATGATGCAACTAAAAAACACAGTAACATAAATGTTACTGTACATATCGAAGCCAAGATCGCCACCATCGTTTTTCCTATTTAAGGTGCAGTCGGTGATATGTTAATCTTGCTTTTTTTTTTGGGTTTAGAGACGCCTTGATCATGGTCCATTTATAGAGCTTCGTCATGATATGAAACATCGGCATTCCCTATATAGAGCTAGGTAGCGTCAGCGGGTAGACAGATGGCCGGCGGAGATTACTTCATTTTACTTATATATATGGAACGGTCGTTCCCTACACGGCTACACGTAAACCAGTTTTTCTTTTTCAGAAACGTGATCACTTAATAATATTTTAATATACGAGAAGTCAACACACTAATATTCTAGCTTTTCTTCGACTTGTTTTATTAGATGTGGTCGCTTTCATAACACAAGAGTTATGAGTCGTTTCCTCTCCCTCTAGTGTCGCTAGACATCATAAATTGAGATTGATGGAATATAGGCAATTATTATAATTTATTGTATAAAAAATTTATATATAGCTAACTTGGTAAAATTTATATCAACGTGGCTGTTTATACAAGCCTATAGGTTTGGGCTATGTTTTTTATAACGCAGGAGCGTTCTCACATTTCCCCCCACGACGTGGTGAGGTTGCTTTTATGTTGAGGGTCTTGGCGAGGTTACCAACCCAGCAAAATGAGTTAGTTGCACTACATGCATTCAGCTTCAATGGACTTGATCTATGACTGAGTCTATATATTGTCAGTAAAAATATGAATCGTAGTCACTAAGTGTACTTTCGGGAGAGAAAAGTGGCGCGTAGGTTATTTGTAATGAATAAAATATGCTCGTCGGTAATTTTTTAGAGCAAACAACAGTATTTGTTATAAAGGCTATTCCTCGCCAGTAAAACCTCAATTCTCTTCACTAAGTTCATTCGTTGGAGGTAAATTTGGTGAGAATTTTAATTGCGATAGAGAAAATCATTTTGTTAGTAACGTTTCATCAAGAATTAATGTATCTATGACAAAGCATATATCTTGTCAGTAATAAAATGTTGTCGATGGTTTGAAAATTACTTATAAAGTGTATTTATGTTATATTTTTTGATGTCGTATGTATGTTATAATTAAATGTTGTCTGAAAATCATGTTGGTAATTATGTGGTTTGGCGGTAAATATTTGTTCTTTGTTAGCTGCGGTTGCTGGTTCGATTCCCATAGGAGCCGCTTTTATGTTTTTATTAACTAGATTTTTGTAACGATGTTCGTGCACTTCGAGGAAGTTGAATGAAGCCAAGAAACTCGAATCAAGTGCTCACTGCAATGCCTGATATTGGGAATGATTGATCAATTATAAAGAACAACCTGTTGTTCTTCTACTCTTTTTTTTCTATACTAAATTATGTTAAAGCTGCAGCCTGCAAGGAAGAAGACAACAAAATATTGTTGCAGTTAGTGTAAAGTAACTATAAAAGGGAGGTAAGAAAGCAATGGGACAAAAGGAAGATATAAATTCAAATTCTACTAGTGTAAACTCATAATTAAATTGTTTTAGAAAAATAGAGATAAACATTTCAATCTACAAGTCTTCAAGCCCCTCTCTGCTCCAATTCAGTTCATCATCTTCAGCATTTTCAATCCCTTGAGTAGTACTTGATGAAATAATCTCTTCGTGATATGCTTCATCACTATCATCACCATCATCATCTTCTGGCATCTGAAACAAATTTCTAGGCTTTGTTTCAATAACGGTTGCGCAATTAGGATCTTTGATACAAGGCACATAATAAACTTGTATACACTGACTAGCTAAGACAAATGGTTCTTGAGTATTCAATAGTCTTGCCTTATTGATGGTAGTAATACCATGATGATCCTTCTTGTAGCCAATGCCTTCCCGAGTTATGTCATACCAATCACACTGAAAAAGTACAACTCGAAGGCCTTCTGTGTATCGGAGTTCAATGACTTTAATGAGAGTCCCATAGTAAGAAATGGAGCCATCATTCTCCCCTCTGACCATCACACCGCTATTTTGAGTACGTCTATTCTTCTCACGAGTTTTAAAGTGAAATCGAAACCCATTAATATAATATCCTGAATGGAAGTTGACTCTTTTATCTGGTCCACGAGCTAGAGATAATAGAGTAAGACTCACACTTTTAGGATTCTCCTTATACGTCATCATGATCTATAATAAATTAAATAAGATAAAAATCAATAGGTATTTCTTATGACTTGACTCTGCCATAATCAATGAGTGCACTTACCTTCTTGTTGAACCATTGTGCAAATTGTTGTTTGTGCATTTGTTCAATCCGACGAACACCCCAGGAAGCTAACATGTCTTTATGCTCTCCATACATAGATAAAAAAAATTATGTTCATTTTTTTGTTAATAATAAATTTGAAATGAAAAAGAGTAGTCTTCAAAAATATAATGAAATATGATTTCTAAATCACTTGGAATATTCTTGTAACTCGTCACAATTTTCCAAGACATAAAAAATAGCAGCATTGAGTAGGTTGCCTCCTAATTCTTCCACATTTGGATTTCCTCCTAGATGATGGCCCATAAGTGAAACAATAGATAGTTGGTGAGACTTGGAAGAAGGATTGACATGATCATCATTCCTCTTTGGCCGATTAAATACAATATCCACTCCAGTCAAATAACGTGAGCAAAATGTGAGGCATTCATCGATCAAATAAGTCTCAGCAATAGAACCTTCTGGACATGCCTTATTGCCAACGTAGCCTTTTAACTTCTTCAAAAACTTGTACTAAGCGGATAATAATAATCGTGTTAACATAACAGACTAACAAAAAGAAAGGAAAGCAGTGCGTGAAAAGTGAAAAAAACATGGAAACGAATCACAATAAACATGGTACTCAGGGACTAGAATTTGGGCATTAGAGAGAGTTGTTCTGGCCGAATGAACTTGGTCGACAATATACCTACTACTCTGGCAACATAAAGGAATTACAATAAACATACACTTGCTTATTTGGTCCACAATATACGTGATGGACACCAAGCTCAACCAATTTTTCTAAGAAAAAGCAATTCTAAAGTAATCAATTAATGGATTCCAGCTCTGAGTCTTTCTACAGAAAACCTTAGAAGGCCCATCCAACTTTTACCTCATTCAATGATCAAGTTTTGGCCGTAGCTGATCTGAATATGTTACACAAGGCAGAGGAGAAGTTGATTGAAAACAACCAATTAGTGCATCCAAATTTTTTATGGACAACATTATAAAACACGTTTTTGGGACCTTAGCAAACAAACAAATTGTATTCATTTATGTGACCAGTCAGTATAATTAAACTTCTATGGCTACATTCTTGGACAGCATCCACCAAACTTTTCTTTGTCTGTAAAATATATCGTCGAACTTTGAGCTAAATTAACTTAAATGGTAGATTCATTATCGTACCCAGAATACTGTCACACACATTCTTTTCAATGTGCATGACATCCAAATTGTGCCGTAATAAGAGTTTTTCCCAATATGGCAATTCAAAGATGATTGACTGTTTTCTCCAATTATGAGTTTTGCTAAACCCATCAATTTTTCGCTTCTTTCCCTTCTTACTAAACGACACTGTTTCCAGAGACAAGATTTCATTCGCCACTTCTTGACATGATGGGCTCTTTGGTGTAGTCCTTTTTTCCACTCTTCCATTAAAATCTCTCTTCAGCTTCTGCCATTTATGCTTTAAAGGCAGATAACGAACGATGATCCATATAACATTGTTTACTTCCATGCTCTAATCTCAAAGATGAAGTTTGACCTACACAACACGGACATGCTAACTTTCCCTTTGTACTCCAACCAAAAAGACAAGCATATGCCGGGAAATCATTAATAGTCCACAAAATTGCAGCTTTTATATTAAAGTTCTCCTTTCTGAATGCATCATACGTAACAATTCCATCATCCCATAACATCTTCAACTCATCAATAAGAGGCCTTAGGAAGACATCAATGTCGTTTCCTAGACCTTTTGGCCCTGGAATGAGCAATGACATGAACAAGTACGGACTTTTCATGCACATCCAAGGAGGGAGGTTGTTCGGAAAACCATGACAAGCCGCGAACTGTAATTATTATTCATTTTTCCAAAAGGATTGAAACCATCTGTAGCCAATCCTAACCTGACATTTCGAGGATCAGAAGCAAATGTTTGACTAGCTTCATCAAGAGCTCTTGAAGCCTCAGAGTCAGTATGATGTCTTAAGAGTCCATCCTTTGAGCGTTGTTCATGATGCCATACCATATGTTCAGGTGTCTGTGATGACATGAATAACCTCTACAGCCTCTTCGCAATAGGAAAGTATCTTAAAATCTTCCATGGAATCTTTTTTACCTTTCCTTTTGTATCCTTGTAAACCGACTGATACCTTGTAGCTGAACAAATTTCACATGAAAGCGCATTCTTGTGTTCAACATAATAGATGATGCAATCATTTTTGCAAACATCAATTTCTTCATAATGCAATCCAAGATCTTTAACAATCTTCTTAGCCCCATAATAATTTTTTGGCAAGTAATCAGTCATTGCTAATGCTTCGCGGATGGCCTTCAGCGTCATGGTGAACGAGCTGTTAGTGCAACTGTTGAAACACTTTATATGCATCATCTTGGTCAAGAAGGACAAATTTTTATGGTTTTCGCATCCAACATACAATGGCTTTTAGGCCTCACTGAGAAGCCTATAAAACTTTTGGCTTCTTCATTAGGCTCATGATTTTCATTTTTTCTGGTTTTTGTGAGTCAAATGTGATATGTTTCTCAGACTTGGCCTTTTGCATCTTTTTTTTTTATATAATGGTAACATCTATTAGATTAATAAAGGATAAAAGATTAAATGGTAACAAAACAATAGCTTATGAGGTAGTACAAAGCTGCCGCTGCACAAAAAGGTATCATCAACTTACAGCTTACAAGAGCTTTGGAATGTAAATCATAGCAGATAACCACACCCCTAAGCAGACAGGTGTAGATAAGGATGTTGTTGAAAGTGCTCAGAGGTGATAACAAGTCAGGAAGCTGTGACCATTTATACTTTTATTTTTCTTTGGTAAGGATGGGTTTTGCATCTTCCCCAAGCCATTTTCTTTCTCTGTAGCTGGCGCTTTGGTCTGTTGTTCTACTTTGTATTTTTCATTGCTGGGCACGTTTGTGCTACCTTTGTTTTAGGGACATTTTCCAACTTTAATACTATCTCAACATCATCAAAAAAAAAAAGATAATAGCTTGTAATTTAATTTGTTGGTGTATGGTTTCTAGTTGTCTGTATAGGTTGTTTTTAGTATAATTTCATCGGCTGCTAATTCATTGATTCCATTTTCAAGATAACCACACCACCGGTTGCTCATGAAATTAGTAAAATCTTCCACCAACATATCAATGGTCCATGGACATCATTCTCGCAGTTTTCTAAAGAAGAATTGGATGCATTATATGCACATTTCAAGGAAGCAGGCTTCAACTGTTCACTTCCAGAAGAAGAAGTGGTGCAGGCTGTTAAAAACTATGTCAAGATTCAATATGGAAAATGGATGTTTCCCTTCAAAATGAAGTATTTTCCAAGTTTAGGTCATTGAGTGATATCTACAAGAATCCTCCTGCATCTATAGCTCCTTCTGTTTGGAAGGAAATGGTCGATAAATGGAATGCTCCGACATGGAAGGTATAATTCGATTCATAGGATAAAATTGAACACTTAGTTTTCATTATTATTATAATTGTTATTCATTCATTATTGTAGGAGATAAGTAAGAAAAATAAGTAAAATAGAGCCAAAAGTGAGCTGATTTCAACTGGTGGTTCTGTACCAGCCGCAAAATATAGATCTGATATGGTATTTATCTTTCATGAACTTATATTGCACCTATAATTTTTGTACCATAAACTCTAAGTTTAGTTGTTCCTTTGCAGAAAAAGATAACTAGACAAGAGCCAACTCCAATGGATATATGGAAACGGCAGCACATGAAAAAGAACAAAGAGTTCTGACACGCTAAAACACAACACCAAACTGCGACCAAGTGTAATCGCAGTCCGGGAATGCAGTAAAGTGGCAAGTTCTATTATCAACCCGAGGTCTAGATCTACTGCCTACTCCGTGATTATCTATTATCTAGCCAACTAAGTCAAGTGATTGTTGTTTTAAGCAAAAGCAGTAAGAAAGCAGGAATTGGTACGGTTTTCTCAAGCAAAGAAGAGTCACTCGGGAATGAGTCCCCCTAGCTCCTTAGTTAGGTCTCAATTGTAATTACCCTTGGTTGATTTACTGTTGATTAGACTGCGAAAGATCCGAAAGTAGCTTGAAACCTCTTCAGCTGACCAAGCCCTCTCAGTCTAACTACCCGGCAGACGACTAGTCTTCACCGGGATAGAAAGCTGAAGCAATAAGCACATAAATCCACTACTGGAATTGGATTCCAGTACAAAGCAGTAAACTGGCTAACTCTCGTATAGCCAATCTCCTACTAACGAATGATGAAGCTCTAACAACCTAATAAGATTCTATCTATCTCAGGTTGCAGCAGAAATCAAGAAAAGCTGATCAGACTTCAATCAATTCAATAAAACATGCATCATTCGATTAAATCCAAACAATATAATCATCCCAAGTCATTACAATCAAATTCCTAAAACATGGAACAAGTGTTCTTCATACCCAAGTGAGAGAAGGGTTATACTCCATAGAGAGAGAGAGGAAAACAAAAATCAGAGTAGTCATACTCATAAAGATGAGGAAAATCTACTCTGGGATGTCAATCTTCACTTCTGGGGACGCAATCTGGGCTTCAATGGTGAGAAATCCACTCCAAATAGCTCCTAGGGTTTGTTCTTTGTCCTTTCTCTCTCTAAAACTCTGTTTTTGCTCTGAAAAGTCGATCCTCTCACTTGTGGCTCGAAATTGGGTAAAAACCAGAATTCCCGACTCACACGGGCAGGCCACACGGCCGTGTGGCTTACCCAGATGCCCGTGTGAGGTCCAAAATGCCGCGTTCTGATTTAGTGGATTTCAGGCTTCCTACACAGCCAGAGACACACGGCCGTGTGGAGCCTCCAGTCTGCCCGTGTGAAGGCTCGCATAATCCCACACGGCCACATTGGTTCATGACAAGGCCGTGTGGGATGCCCAGTCTGCCCGTGTGAAGTCTCGCACAATCCCACACGGCCACATTGGTTACTTGCACGGCCATGTGGGTTTTGTGTGTGCCCGTGTGGCTTCCTCAGCGACTCACCTCACGCCCGATCTTCGTCCAATCGACCCCGAACTCGCTCCC